GCTTTGGACATCATACTTAGGCGTGCCCACGTCTAACTGACAGGAAGGCTTCAAAAGTTAATTTTCCAGCTCCTTTTGCCCCTAAATGCTGCAATTCGCATAGAACACAAAATCTCAGTAAAATCTACCGATTAGTGCAGTATTTAGTCCAAATAAATAGAAAAAGCACGTGAGAAGACCAACTAAATTGCACTCTATCAAGGGTCAAAATCTTCAAAGTCAACAATGTCATCAAAAGAAACATAAGGTTCATCATCACTGGTTATCAAAGACAAAAAGTTTTCTTGTTTTGCTTTTAACAAGCACAAGGAGTGTACCGTGTCATGCACTCGGCATGCTTTGACTCCACCATTTCATCTTCTTTTGGCAATGATGATTAAGCTTCTTTCAATCAGATCTGTCAAGTAGTCCTCTGCAAGATCATTATCCTGTATAAACCCTTCAGCCATCCACAGCCACATCAATTTCTGAACTGGGATCTCTTTGTTTCCTTGAAATGCACCAAAGTATAGGAAACAGGCTTTCAAATAATCAGGCAGATGATTGTAAGTTCCAGGATGTCCAGGCACCTCGTTTGTGGATCATTAACTATGAGTGAGTTCAAGCTTTCAGAAATTGCTTTCCACATGTCGCATATCATGTTTGTTGTTTTAAGGAGACCAGATATGGCAACAACTGAAAGGGGTAGTCCTTGACAATTTCTAGCAATATTTTTCCCAACTTCAACTAATGCCTCTGGATAGCCTTCTTCAGTGAGTACCTTCCTTTTTAGTAACTCCCAGCTTTATTTTTCTGATAGTGGACGAAGATTTAAAAGATCACCTTCTTCTGTGAATTGTGAAACAACATGATGGAGACTTGTTATCAGAATTCTGCTTCCGTTTCTGTCATCTGGAAAAGGGTTCTGCAACTCATTCCATGCTTCAATATTCCACATGTCATCCATAAAGACAAGATAACGATTCCTCCTCAAGTTATGATACAATAGCAATTCCAAATCTTCATTGGGCATTATGAGGATGTTATCGGTGAGCTCAATAATGTGTCCTAGTACTTCAAGCAACAAGTCTCTTTTCGTGTATACTTGTGAAACACAACAACATGCCCGAATGTGGAAGTAAGACACAATTTCAGGATCATTATACACTTTATTAGCCAATGTAGCACAATTTCAGGATCATTATACACTTTATTAGCCAATGTAGTCTTACCAATTCCTGCCATTCCGACAATCAAGACAGTATCTCTCTGGGATGACCCTCTTGTAAGGTGATTAACAATCATTTGTTGCTGATCCTCTAGAACCAACACATCTTCATCAGCTCCAACTTTACTAGTCTGTGGGATTTCACGCCTTGTAGTCTCAACCATGGTTCAAAGTCATGGTCGCGGCCCGGAACGTTCCACATCGGTCTCGGCATATCGATCGCGGTCTCGGTGAGATGCAAATTTTAAAGTATTTAATATTCTAAAAATTGTTAATAATATAAAAAAGTATGCTAAATAAAAATAATTAAAAAATAGCAAAAGAAACGGCCAAGTCAATCCGTTACGGTGTGACTTGGCTGATTTCTCGTCTTGACTCGGGATAACTCGAAGTGACTCGGCCGAGTCAATCCGTCGCTGTGACGATTCGGCCGATTCCTCGACGAGTCAAGTATTTCGGTATCGTTTCGTCACGGTATCATATCAGTAGGGGCCGAGACAGTGACGACTCGGCCGAGTCGCCGAGACTTCGAACCATGGTCTCAACCGCATTCGGGGGTCCAATATCAATGGTCTTCTCCTCAACCTGCATCTTAATAAGTCGAATGTCTTCTGAGACATGAGAAAGCCAAGAGAGATTGTGCCTTTTAGATTCATTCCCCACCAAAATTGAGTCAATAAGAAATTCCACCATGTATCTGCATCCGCTGTACGTCTGCCAAAATCTTTCCATTCTTGATGCTTGATGTCTTTTTTCATGAAGAAAGATCTCAGAAATCCTAGATTATCTTGGATCTCTTCAATTTGTGGCTCAAAGAATGAAAATGAACCAGACTCATATCCAAGGAATTCCTGTAGCTTCCTCGAGAGCAAGTCAATGAAGCCTAGTCCCACAATCTTGGGACAATTGATTTTTGGTGTGGGGATATCAATTACCTTAATTACTTCCTCGGCACTCTCTATCAAACCAGAAAGCTGACCGCTCAATTCCTTCACATCTTCAGTGACTTTGGCAGCACGAAAGGAATGATAGAAAGATATAACCCGCCTAGCAACGGATTCAGTGTGTATCAACATTTGGTTATCATCCTCTGTCAAACTTTCGAGATTCATGAAGATGAGAATCCTTGGAATTATTATGATTGATGCAATGAGGGACTTGAGAGTTCTAATATGATCCTTCATAGGAAGAAATAAAATTGCATCACTGGCAATTAGATCCATTAAATATGCATCTGCCCTGATAACCAAGTTCCTCAGAAGCAGCTTGAATAGCACATCTCTTGTTGCACAATATGCATAAACAATCTATCCTAAATTGCATTGCCAAAGATATGTTTTCATTGGTTGTCTCCAACGCAGATGACTAGATCAATATTTAATATAAGTAGTCATCATTCCAAAATTTCACCATTAACCAAATCTCTATACTATGGATAAATAGGATCAAAAATCAACTTACCCGTTTGACAAGAATATTCATCAATTCATCATTCCAAAATTTTCACCATTAACCAAACCTCTATACTATGGATAAATAGGATCAAAAATCAACTTACCCGTTTGACAAGAATATTCATCAATCATCTGTCCCTGGCGAACTTTTTGACTCCATAAACTGTGGCCAGTTCAAATTCATTAATGAACTTAATTTTGTCTGATCATTCTTATCCACTCCAAGCACCAAATAAATACCTGTAGTAGAATTTCTTTCAAATATTTGCCACAACTAGAACCAATTTTGTGTTTCAATTGTCAACAATAAATCTTCTTATTTTGTGCCCCAACTTCACAAACAAATCTTAGGATCAAAGTTTAGAGTTTTGATACCACTTGTTTGCACACACAAAAAAAAAAATTGTGCACAGTGGGAGTACTTTTAATACATAAAAATATGTAGAAAGAAGAGAAAAATAAACATAAAAACAAATACTCAACAATTTTATTAATTGAAAACTCGAAAATAACAATATCAAGTTGTTATCTTTTGCTTTCGACAGTTCACAATCTCAACTTAAAGGTTTTTCCTCAACTCATTCTTCAAAACTCGATTTGACTCTACTCAATTCTTCAAATAATAATCTACCATACTAACAGTATTTATAGATTGCAAAGCTTCCTAAAAAAGTACAATTATAAACTGAAACTTATTTGAAAATTGACTTGAAATTTCCTAAATTGATACGAAACTAAATGTACAGACACCAAAACAAGAAACTAAAGGCATTAGAAAATAAACAAATAGAATAATTTAGTTTAATTCCATCAGTTGTAGTTGGATTAACAAAACAATCACACCTGTTCATACTTAACCATTGCAACCTTATTAATGGGCTACCTTAGCAAAGGGCAATTGATTTTTTGGACCGGCTTCTCACTTTAGAAATCAGTAATAAATTCATAAAGAACATACTGCAAAAATAGTCCTCACTCCTCAGATTTGCTTTCTTTGTCCCTCGCATGCTAGAAATATTATCCCACTATCAAATATACTTCCTTTAGACTTTAGTTGTTGTTCTAATTTCTCAATAAGATCTGCATGCACCCGCCTCTTTTTTTTTTTGTTGAAAAAAATGAAAACATACTTATTTTTACTTTTACTCCACAATTTTATAAAACATGATACATATGTGAACTTTTTCAAGCAAAAAGTGGATGTGCTTGAAATTTTGAACCTAACTGTTACAATTTTGAAAATGCTGGTGGACCACAAAAAATGTTTTTTAAATATAGGATCATAATATATTGAATAAAAAGCATGAACTATTACGCCATTTAAGTTACACCTCCTGTAAGTTGACTCTTTTCTCGTAGAATGGAAATTCATCTTAAAGGCACTAAGCTCCCCAACGTTTGGTGCCTTTTGGATTTTTTCCTCCCCAGAATTATTTTTGTTGCACTTTGCCTCCTATTATTAAGTCACATTAGCTTTTACCATTAAAAACTATTTAAAGTTTCAATTTTACCTTTTCTCCATTTTCCTCTATTCTTCTTTTTCCTGCCCAAGTTTTTCATGTCACCCATTTCTAATGACACCCATCCTTTTTTTTTTTTTAACAAAATCAAGAATTGAGTTCCCAAGAAAAAATCTAACCATATCAAGTAAATTCAAAACTTTGCTATTGTTAAACATATTCTTTCTCAAATTGTGAAAATCAATAAATGGAGGTACGACACAACTTGGATGGTATTCTTTTTTTGCTAATTATTTTATGACTTATTTTATGCATGCAATGATTTGATTTTAGATTCTAGAATATATTTCAGGAGCATGTGATTTTCTTAAGTGGTCGGATTCCATTTTAAGGAATACGGACATCTTCCCCAGACAAAAAAAAAATGGATATTCTCCAACATTGTTTCCATTAATTATTATTTTGAAGTCTTCAATATCTTTTTTGCTCAATCGGTAGTGTTGACCGTTAGTCAATGGGTAAAAATGCAACAAAAATAATGTAAATAGAGTGGTCAACGTTTTATATACCATGTTTCTTTTACGTACAGCTTTATTCTTGGCTTTTGTTTGGGCCCAATATTATTCCTTGCTTGTGCTTCAAGGTCGATACAATAAAGTAGGCGTTAGTGTACCAGAAGTTTGGCAGTTGGTGGGGTCTGAGACTCGAAGATACCTTTATCACATTTTGGTGTTCAGTTGATGGCCAATGTTCTAGCTTCTTTCCAATGTTCTAGCTTCTTTCCAGATTTTATGTTTTATGTTTAGCTGGTAATTAATTAAATTGCATCGAAACCATTTTAGTATAATTTTTTATGGAATTTATTGATAAGTTCGTCTGGTTAAACATTTTCAAAAGACTTCGTTGGACTTTCCAAGGTCCTGGTAATCGTAAATTGTAGTGCTTTTCTAACTTTCCACTTTTGCCACTGCAGCAATTCCTTGCTTGTTATTTCCTCCCGCAAAGTTGATTAGTCAAACTGACAATAATCATTAGGCTGAATGTGATATGGTTTTGAAGTCAATGAAGATTTTATCAAGCATATGATTACTCCCCTCCCCGACATTGGGGACAAAAGAAAATCATCTAATTTAGTGTTTAATGGTTTTGGGATCCATGGAGAAGCAATTTGAAATACCATTTTAGCTGCCAGCCAGTTTTTTCGAGGAAGCAGGCTTTAAATGCCCTCAAAATTGAGTGATACTATCAGTTCATTGTGTTGCTGGCGGTCATTCCAGTCTTGTACAAGGAATCGCAACCTGTCAATAGAGCAGAAGAACCAAGCAATTCAGCATTCATTCATAAATTGAACAGATCCTCTTCTGTCAATTATATCTTGGGTAAAGCATCTTCTTGTATCTACTTCATATGCACTCATGCTAGTGATGATAGAGTATGTTGATAAAATTTTGTTTTCCCAAATTCTTTGCAACAACATCTTGTTTCCTTTGAGTAAATTAGTTTCTTTTTCATGCCTAAACAATGTAAGAATTTAGTTTTCAAGTGGCATTAAGCTTGGCCTGCATGCTCTCTTCAATTTCCTTTAACTTCACACATCTTTTATTCATCGGCATGTCCTACAAAAAGGTATAAACAAGCAATTGCAAGTCTAGAAATTCATTTTGGCCAATTTAACCTCCTCAAACTGTTTCTTTTTGAGAACCGAGGAGATTTGCAAGTCTAGAAATTCATTTTGGCCAATTTAACCTCTTCGAACTGTTTCTTTTTAACAACCGAGGAGATTTGTGCCAAAATAACAGATTCTAAGAAGAGCAAAAAGCTTAGGAAATGTAATGCATCTCCCTGACAAAACCGCTTGCATTGGAGTTACTCATTAATGGTTTATCCAATTTGATGTATTTGCCCTCTAGGTTTTCCTTGGCTTAAAGAAATTGATGAGGCTAGGCAAAGCCATGCGGTTGCAGTAATGCTTGCGGAAAAGTTAATCAGAAGAGAAGATTAGAGCCATTATGTGCACACAGAGTTCAAAGTTCTTGAAGGCAGCCAGTTCGGGATATCATCAGAAAAGAAAAATAGGATGCCAGATCCACTAATACAAGCAACGAGACTGGGCATCATTGAGGTAGTTCAGGAAATCCTCAGTGTCTACCCTGAAGCAGCATATACCTTCGATGGAAATGGAAGGAATATACTGCAAATTGCAGTGGAGGAGGAAAAATGGTTCTTGTACGACTACTTGATGACTAGTGGTACTAACATGGACAGGATGCTAAGTGCTATTGATCACGAAGGAAATACCATTATACATCTCGCAGCACACCAGGAATCCCCTCCCAGCACTCCCCCTGGTGTTTTGGAAATGATGTGGGAAGTCCTCTGGTTTAAGGTACCAAATTAAAATTAATAACAATATTGCATTGCCTGTTGTATATTATTTAATTTTATTTTCCGGACCATTTGCAACTTATGATTGATCTTTGGCTCCACAGCGGGTTCAATATGACTCTTATCCATATCTCTGGCAACTGCAAAATTCTGATGGGAAGACAGCAAAGCAAGTATTTGAGACGAACCATGCAAGTCTACGTGAAAAGGCTGAGGAATCTGTGAGAGCATTGGCCAACACTGTGTTGATTGTGTCTGTCCTCATTGGTACCGTAAACTTTGCTGCAATTTTTACTGTACCCAGAGGTTTCGATCAAACGACTGGAGAGGCCATTTTTCTCAAGAACCGGCGCTGGGAATTCAGCTTGTTGATGTTCTACTTAGCAGGAGGGCTGTTCTCCTCTCTGTTCACCATAGGGACCCTGCTTGTGATTATCTTTTTGCGATTTGAAACCGAGGATTTTTATGTTTCCCTGCCCTGCTACTATGTGATGAACATAATTTCCATCTTCTACTCCACGGTCCTCGCAATCGTAGCATGTTGTCAAGCATTAATAGTGCAGAAGGTTGTGATTACTGACTTCAGACCCCTTGTGGTGTTCTTCTTTATCTATGGTCTGATGGCCCTTGTGCGCATGGAAACGTCGTATGTGATATTCGACTATGCGTATCACCTAATTCGTTACTGCCTTTGTTATAGAGGGCAAGAATCTTAAGCACTGCCCTTGCTTATTCATGTCAATTTCGTGCAGACTGAAAAAGTTTGAGCAAGTTTGTAAAGAACTTTTGCTTGTCATCTATTGATTCAGGTGAATTTCCTATAGGGAAAAAACCGAGTGAAGAATGTTACAATAAACATGTTCATGAATAAAAGCCGAAATCCAACTTGAATTCCACCATAATGAATTTTGATATTCATCTCGAAAACCAATTAGCAATAAATTGACTAACTCAGGATCTTAATAAAAGGAAAAAAAACACTCAAGATCTTATAAATTCAACTAAAAGTTCTTGGGAAGCAAAACTACCATATGTAAACTGACGCCACAAAATATTAAGTGCTTTCATTCTTATGATTTCCACTAAATACCTCCAAATGATGTCAAATTCACACATATAGATATCTCCCTTCAGCAGAAAACTCGCTTGTCAATAAACTTCTTAGAGTGTTGGATTTAGGATACATCATCCTGGACCAGTTTCCGGTTAATATACTGGAGCTTGTTCATTTGAACTAATTGGCTCTTAGGATTTATAACCTTCGAAAGCTACCACCCTTGTCTAAACTTTGGAACCTTGAAACCGTCATTCTTGTTACAGAAAGGGACAAAATGTCACTTTACCAGAAGATATTCGGCAAATGGTAAAATTGAGGCATTTGCATTATTCAAGGAACTGGAATTTGAAAGGGCATGTTTGAGTTCTTCAACTCCCTTTGTTTCTTCAATTCCCTTTGTGCTATACAATTTACAAACTATATCTCAGGTACGTCCTTCAAGTTCTACACAGGAGGTATTGGCAATAATGCCTAATCTTGTAAACTTAGGATGCCATTTAACATTATCAGATGCTACGAAACATGCTCAGTTCCCCGATCTTTCCAGATTAAGATGCTAGAAACGTTAACATTTGATTATCAGACTTTAAATATGGCAAAATTCTTTTTACCTCAACCAAGTAAGTTTCCTCCAAACTTGAGGAAGTGACTCTGGTAGGTAGTCATGTAGACTGGAAAGAAATGTCAATCATTGGGATGCTACCAAACTTAGAGGTTCTTAAAATAAGGGACAATTTCTTCAATGCACCACGTTGGGAAGTGGTGGATGAGGCTTTTTCTCATCTCAAGTTCTTGAAACTTTCAAACACTAATCTCAAAGAATGGAGCGCCTCAAGTAGTGTTGGATATTTTAATAAAAAAGATCATTATTATTTTGAATTCATTCACATGCTTATTTTGAATTCAAATACAATGAGTTACAAATTTTGAAATGAATTTTCAGTTACAAAATGACCATTAAAAATGTAACTTATGAGTTGCTAATTTTGAAATGAATTTTCACTTACAAGATCACCATTAAAAATGTAACTTATAAGATTTATGTCTTGTTTTTGTAACCTATGTGATGATTAGGTTTTAAGAATTGATTTATTAAATTTTGACTATTATACAATGACTTAGACCTTTTCAAATTTTGTAACTGAAAAATATGTCACATTTATTCCATTTAATGGTGGTATTCTAATACTCCTAAAATTCTAGCCTATAAATAGAGGCCACTATCAACCAAGTTTTACACACTTTTCTTGCTATCTCAAAAAACTATCTTCCTCTCACTTCTATTTGGCATTAGTTAGGTGTTGAGAAGAGTTTTAGCTTCTCTAAATTGTGTAGATTTAGTAGAAGCAACAGCATAGGCTGGGCTGTTGTATCCCAGAGGCGACGTGTCATCAACCTCCTACACCGGGCATAATCCCGAGAGGGGCGCGAATCGTCTTAAGAGAGCGACCTAGTCCGCGCCTCACCTAGCCAAAATTACTTTACTTCTCTTTCTTTAACTTTTGTTTTGCAGGTTGATCGGGCTTATCAAGTTCTAAAGGAACAACAATTTAAGACGACTCGGAGTACCATGGAAGTTGCAAGCAATGTTGCAAACGCTACCACTATTGGATCTAGTGATCTCAACAAACCATTTCGCTTTAGTGGCCAACACTTCAAAAGGTGGGCCAAGAAAGTGATGTTCTATTTGAAGCTAATGAAGGTTGCCTGGGTCTTAGCCATAAAGAATCCAAAAAAGATAGACACCAGTTCAATGACTGATGAAGAAAGGGAGAATCATGCCAAACAACTTAAAAAATGGGAAAATGATGAGGAAGATTGCAGAAATTATATCCTTAATTGTTTGTCTGATGAACTTTATGATTTTTATTCTTCATCTTATACTTCAGCAAAAAGAATTTGGAGAGCATCGCAACAAAAATATGATACTGAAGAAGCAGGCTCGAAAAAATATGCTTGTAGCCGTTATTTCAAGTTTCAAATGGTGGAAAACAAGCCAGTACTAGAGCAAGTTCATAACTTGCAAATGATCGTCCATGAGATTGAATTTGAAGGAGTCAAAGTCGATCCACAAATGCAAGTTGCAGCCATCATTGACAAACTTCCAACATCATGGAAAGATTTTCAGAAAGGGCTACGTCATAAGCAACAAGAATTGACAATAGCAAATCTGATGGCAAGGTTGCGCATTGAAGAAGAAGCTAGAAAACAAGACAAAGGTGAAGAGTTCAATGGGAGTACTAAGGTAAACTTCCTAACTTCGAGTGAGAATGTCTCTAAGGGTCAACAAGACAAAAATAACGCCTATTTGAAGCCTAGAGGGAAGAATATGAAAAACAAGTTTTCAAAAAATTATTTTAACCAGAAAAAGTCAAATCAAGAACCCCCTTCAAAACAAGTTTCAAATACTCCAAATTTTGGAAATAATATGAAAAATAGAGCTTGTTTTGTTTGTGGAAAATTGGGTCATCGTGCAAAAAATTGTCGTTTTAGAAAATTTGGACCCAATTTTAAGCCACAAGCTAATGTGACTCAACTAATTGAAGAGTCATTTGTGACTATGGTTTCTGAAATCAATTTTGTTGGAAATACTGAAGGGTGGTGGGCTGATTCTGGTGCCTCTAGGCATGTTTGCTATGATAGAACTTGGTTCAAAAGTTATTCTCCTATTGAAAAAGAAACAAAAGTTTTGCTAGGGGATTCACATACAACCAATGTTCTAGGCATGGGCGAAGTTGAACTAAAGTTTACTTCTGGGCGTGTCTTGATCCTAAGAGATGTTCTTTACGTTCCTGAAATTAGGAAGAACTTGGTTTCTTGCTATCTTCTTAATAAGGCTGGTTTTAAGCAGTCTATAGAATCTGATCAATATGTGCTTACAAAGAATGCTACCTTTGTTGGAAAAGGTTATGCTTGTGATGGTATGTTTAAACTTAATGTTGAGATGAATGAAATTTCTACTTCTGCTTATATCGTTTCTTGTATAAATATGTGGCATGCACGTCTTTGTCATATAAATAGCAAATACTTAAAAAATATGAGCCATATAGGGTTAATTCCAAAATTGTATAATGAGTTTGGAAAATGTGAATATTGTAGCATGACTAAAATAACTAAACAACCTCATTTGAAAGTTGAAAGAAAAACAGAGTTATTAGAATTAATACATTCTGACATTTGTGAATTTGAAAGCATATTAACACGTGGAGGTAAAAGATATTTTATCACATTTATAGATGATTTTTCAAAATATTGTTATGTCTACCTTATGAAACATAAAAGTGAGGCTTTTGAGAAATTTACTACTTTTGTTGAAAATCGTTTTGAAAGAAAAATCAAAAGATTTAGAACAGATAGAGGAAAAGAGTATGATACTATTGGCCTTATAAATTTTATCAAATCATTAGGAATAATACATGAGGTAACTCCACCATATTCACCTCAATCAAACGGTGTGGCTGAAAGAAAAAATAGATCTTTGATAGATTTAATAAATGCTATGTTAGCAAATTCGAGTGCACCTAAAAATTTATGGGGTGAAGCTATTTTAACAGCTAATTATACTTTAAATAGAGTACCACGAAAAAAAGATTTAATAACTCCTTATGAATTATGGAGAAACAAAAAACCCAATATTGAATATTTTAGAGTATGGGGTTGTTTAGCATATGTAAGAATTTCTGAACTAAAAATTCCAAAATTAGGAATAAAAGCGATTAGATGTATATTTATTGGATATTCTTTAAACAGTAAAGCATATAGATTTCTAGATCTAGAAAATAATGTAGTAATTGAATCTCTAGATGCAATTTTTCATGAAGATAAATTTCCATTTAAAGATAGTGGGGGTATAAAATTGAATGAATATAGTGAAAAATCCAAAGAAACTAGTTCTTTTAATGCTAAAGGTTCAACTAGAGAAAAAGAGCAATTGAGAACCAGTAAAAGGAAAAGGACACAAAAAGATTTTGGTCCTGATTTTCAAACTTATAATGTAGAGGGGGATCCTATAACTATTTCTGAAGCTTTATCATCTTTTGATTCTGTTTTTTGGAGAGAAGCAATTAATGATGAAATGGAATCTTTAATGTCTAATAAAACTTGGAAATTAGTTGATTTACCTCCAGGTTGTAAAACTATAGGTTGTAAATGGATATAAAGGAAAAAATTTAAACCTGATGGCACTATAGATAAATATAAAGCTAGGCTTGTTGCAAAGGGTTTTAAGCAAAAAGGAGAGATAGATTTCTTTGATACTTTTTCACCAGTTGCAAGAGTGAATTCTATACGGCTTTTAATAGCTATAGCAGCAATTCATGAATTAAAAATACATCAAATGGATGTAAAAACAGCTTTTCTTAATGGTGATTTAAATGAAGAGATTTATATGGATCAACCCGAAGGATTTATTCAACCTGGTTTAGAAAATAAAGTTTGTAAATTGAATAAATCTTTATATGGACTTGAACAAGCACCTAAACAATGGCATGAAAAATTCGATCAATGTGTATTGACTAATGGCTTTAGGTCAAATGAAAGTGATAAGTGCATTTATTATAAATCGTTTGGAGACTCTCATGTGATAATTTGTTTATATGTTGATGATTTATTGATATTTGGGACTAATATGCAAGTAATTGAGGTTACAAAAGCATTACTTAAAAGTAATTTTGAAATGAAAGATTTAGGTGAAGCTGA